CTAGGGCAGTGATGGCGAACCTATGACACGCTTGTCAGAGGTGACACGCGAACTCATTTTTTTTGGTTGATTTTTCTTTGTTATATGGCATTTAAATATATAAAATAAATATCAAAAATATAAGTCTTTGTTTTACTATGGTTGCAGATATCAAAAAATTTCTATATGTGACACGGCACCAGAGTTAAGTTAGGGTTTTTCAAAATGCTGACACGCCGAGCTCAAAAGGTTCGCCATCACTGCTCTAGGGTGTCTCCTTCACCCCCACGACCTTGACTATCTGCCCCAGCAGGGTCCTTGGAGCTGCCTTCTGGACTGTTCTTGCATATCACATAATAACCAACAGCTTCTCCAGCTCAACTTGTCCCAGCTCACTGTGTCATTTCCCTGACAATCAACCTTTCCCTCCTTCTGCTTCCTCGAATTGAGGGATGGCGCCACCACCTGGCCAACTCACGCTAAACACCCGGGGCCGTCCCGGGTCTGGTTAAGAGCCGGCTCTTCGTGTCCCACTGTTCTTAGCTACTCCGCCTACTAACTGGGTGGCTTCGGCCAAGTAACAGCTTCTCTGGGTCTCCCCTCCTCCGCATTCGCCCCTCATCTGGGGCTTTCCTTGTGGACGAAAGGGGCCACATGCTAACCTGACAAGCTCAGGGAAGGCCTGCGTGGCAGTCTTGCAAAATAACCACAAAGGATGGTCTGAAATTAAAACTTGAATTAGCCTGGCCGGCGTGGCTCAGTAGTTGAGCATCGACCTATGAACCCAGGAGGTCAGGGTTCGAGTCTGGTCAGGGCATATGCCCGGGATCCCCAGTGTGAGGTGTGCAGGAGGCAGCCGATCCATGATTCTCTCTCATCATTGATGTTTCTATCTCTCTTTCCCTCTCCCTTCCTCTCTGAAATCAATGAAAAAAATATGTTTACAAAAAACAACAACAACAACTTTAACTAAAAGCAGTTATGGTGGGTAGTCATGTCCTAGGCCGGTATTTTCCCTGACAAGGTCAATTTTTACTTAACTGAGCCTATTGTCTTTTTGCATCTAAGATAACACACCTATGAAATGTCTGAGTAACTTGTAACTTCCCTTTCCCCTCCACAACCAAATGCGCCTGGGCACCAGGACAGAGACCATAAATTCCTTCACTGTTATTGTTATCACGTTAATTATTGATGTTAACTATCCTGCACCACCTGAGTAAAAGAAGTATGTGTCTATCGTTTTATTTTTTATCCACTCCCAGAGTTTTCCCAGCCTTGCTTTCTCCTACCTCCCTAATCTATCACCAATGGATTTCATGTAACACACTTACGTCTCCTCTCTTGATTGTAATGTCCATAACAGTAGCAACATTACAGTTATGAAGTAGCAACGAAAATAATTTTATGGTTGGGGGTCACCACAACATGAGGAACTGTATTAAAGGGTCTCGGCATTAGGAAGGTTGAGAACCACTGGACAAGGTGGGAGGGGGGTTAGAGATCAGCCAAAGGGTTTGTCTGCATGCATATTAGCATAACCAATGGACACAGACACTGGGGCGGTGGGGGCTTGCCCTCGGGGGTAGGAGTGGTGGCGGGAAGGGTTAATGGGGGCAGGGGGAGGAGACATATGTAAAACTTTAGACCAAAAAAAAAAAAAATAAATCAATCAATAAATAAACAAAAGCCTTTAAAAATAGGTATCCCTGTACTTTCAGTCATCCACCTCCCACTCCAAATCCTCTATTTAGCCCTTCTTTTCCCATTTGTAAAACTCTTAAGCAGAGTAATTCAAAGCGATTTTTGTTCTATTTCCCTGACCATGTAGAGCAGTGGTTCTCAACCTTCCTAATGCCGAGACCCTTTAATACAGTTCCTCATGTTGTGGTGATCAATAAACAAGGTGAAAAACCACCATTCTCCGGAGCATTATCCCAATCCCTTGAGATTCTGCTTCCAGCAATTGTCGACAGTTTGACTCAAATAAACTCACAAAAATTCTTTACAGGTTTGAATGTTTTTATGTTAACGCAATCCACAGGCACGAATTGAGAACCCACCTACTGTGTGCCAAGCACTGCTGAGTGTACAGTGGTGAGGTCAACATACAGGGTCCCTGCTCTGGTGGAAGTTAGAGGCCAACCAAGGAGACAGATATGAAACCAAAAAATAAAAATAAATTATACGCGCGGGCCGGCTGCGTTGGCTCAGTGGTTGAGCGTCGACCTATGAACCAGGAGGTCACGGTTCAATTCCCGGTCAGGGCACATGCCCGGGTTGTGGGCTCAATCCCCAGTGTGGGGCGTGATGTTTCTATCTCTCTCTCCCTCTCCCTTCCTCTCTGAAGTCAATAAAGATATAGTAAAAGCAAACAAATAAACAAATTATACATGCGGAATTTCCAGAAGAGAGGTCTCTATCATCCACTTGCCAGCATCTCTCCTGACCAGGCCCATCTGATTGAGAGCATGGGGTCATGACCTCTCCCCCTCAAGGTTGGCCACTCTGAGTCTCCCCTCCCAGGTGTGTGGCTACAGAAAGGCAACTGTCAATTATCAACGCAGCTCTAAGCCTCCAGCCTTGAGGCGGCATCTCCATTTATTTTAATTATATTTTTATTGATTTCAGAGAAGAAAGGAGAGGGAGAGAGAGACAGAAACATCAATGATCAGAATCATGGAACGGCTGCCTCCTGCACACCCCCTACTGGGGATCAAGCCTGCAACCCAGGCATGTGCCCTTGACCGGAATCGAACCTGGGACCCTTCAGTCCTCAGGCCGACGCTCTATCCACTGAGCCAAACCGGCTAGGGCTGGCATCTTCATTTATATTCAAATTAACCTGAGCCTCCACCGCACACTTTGAGAAAACGGATCTCAGCAATCACTTTCCCCATCAGCCTCAGAACATCAGGAAAGCATGGGCCTCCCAGATTCTGAGAGCATCCTTTCCAATCTGCAGACCTTCAACTGACAGGTGAGAACTAGCTTTTTGTCCTTAAACATAAGGATCAGACAATATCTACTCCTCTAATCAAGCTCTCAAAAACTATTTACTTTAGCCCTAGCCAGTTTGGCTCAGTGAATAGAGCGTCAGCCTGTAGACTGAAGGGTCCCGGACAACCACTAATCTACTTCCTGCCTCCATGGATTTGCTTATCCTATATAAGAAAGAGGTAATATGCAAATTGACTGTCACACCCTTGCACAAGATGGCCACCCCCATGTGGTCAAAGATGACCACCACAAGAGGGCTGGCAGGGGAGGGCAGTTGTGGGCCATCAGGCTGGTAAGGGAGGGCAGTTGGGGGTGACCAGGCCAGCAGGGGACGGCAGTTGGGGGCGACCGGGCTGGCAGGGGAGGGCAGTTGTGGGTGAACAGGCTGGCAGGGGAGCAGTTAGGCATCGATCAGGCTGGCAGGGAAGTGGTTAGGGGGTGATCAGGCTGGCAGGCAGAAGAGGTTAGAGGCAATCAGGCAGGCAGGCAGGCAAGCAGTTGGGAGCCAGCAATCCCGGATTGTGAGAGGGATGTCTGACTGTCGGTTTAGGCCCGAGGGGTCGCAGATTGGAGAGGGTGCAGGCTGGGCTGAGGGACACCCCCCCCTCCCAGTGCATGAATTTTGTGCACCAGGCCTCTAGTCTATATTATAAAAGGCTAATATGCAAAGTGTCCCCTCGGGAGTTCGACTGGGAGAACGGGAGTTCAATTGCTCACTATGACATGCACTGACCACCAGGGGGCAGCGCAGAACATGGCAGGCGACCAGCAGAGGTGGGGCGCTGAGGGAGCAAGGGAAGGAGGAGGCGGGGAGGTGGGGAGGCAGGGGGAACCGCCCGTTGGCAGCACATGGGTGGTCGCTGGCCAGGCCTAGGGACCTGACCCATGCATGGATTTTGTGCACTGGGCCTCTAGTCGTCATATAAATGTAATTATACAATATGTGGCCTTTTGCATCTGGTTTCCTTTACTTAGCATAATGTTTTCAAGTTTCATCCATACTGTAACATATATCATTTCTTCTTATGGCTAAATAATATTGTGTTGTATGGATATGCCATATCCCTTTTAATTTGTTTTTTGACTCATCAGCTGATGGACATTTGAGTGGTTTCCACTCTTTGGCTGTTACGAATAACAATGCTGCCCTAGCCGGTTTGGCTCAGTGGATAGAGCATTGGCCTGTGGACTGAAGGGTCCTGGGTTCAATTCCAGTTTAAGGGCACATGCCCAGGTTGCAG